CCAGGTGGGGAAAACTGGGGCAGAAGGAGAGAGGAGCTTGGCAAATCAATGGCTTCTAGGAGCAGCCTGCAACTGAGGAAGAAAGGGGGAGCATGGGGGTCTGTAAATCAGTTAGAAGGGTGAAAGAGGGAGCCTATAACCTGGTGAATGGAGCAGGTGCTTGCTCGTATTCAGGAGGAGCAGGGAAACAGCAGCAGGAGTTACAGCAGAGGAGCTATTGAGGGAGGGGACAGGATTTATGTTTTGGTGGAAGGGGAAGAGCCCTCAAATATTTCAGTTGTTCTTTTTTCTAATTTGGGAGATTATTGTTGGGGGGGAGGCAGGTTGAGGGGAAGGAGAGTGGGTATGTAATTGCTCTCCCCAGCTCCAACACTTATTTTGAGCACCAGCCAGCCATGAGCACTAGTAAAAATCTTCCTGGCACTGAGCTCTGTTCAGTTGTGGAAGAGTTTCCCACAGGAAATGGTGGGACCTCATCTGAGACATTTAAAACCAGACTGGACAATTGGCTAGAAAATGTAGTATGGGTAACAATGATGCTCTAAAAAAGGAGTGGACTAGATAAACCACAGGTCTGTTCAATCCCTAATTTCTAAGATTTGCCAGATGTAACTTTGTTTGTTAATTTAATTGGTCTGTATCATAAAGTCAGTATGTTACACTGTCACCTTAATCAGCTCTACATCAAACATTGTTTTAATCTCTGAAAGAAAAAAGCGTTCCTGTCTAATGCCTCTGCTTATAGACACCACAAGGCTTTTATGAAAATGCCAAGAATAATATACATAAAAATGTGAGGTATAGAAAATAAAAGCTGAACCCACATGACAGTAGCTGCCGCAGCAAACACAACACACTTCAGCTCTCTTTGCCCCCAACCCCACCCTCACCGCTGTCCAAAATGTTAAACTTCTTATGTTAACTGGTGTCAGATTCGACTCCTTTCTGTTCTTCTCCCCTCACATCCAGGCTATCAAATCCCATCATTTCGTTTTTTATAACATCTCTAAATTTTGTCCTTCCCTCTCCATTCCTACAACTAAAATCCTTGTCCCTGTTGTATGGTCATTTCTTGCCTCAGCTAAAGTAACTCTTCTACTCTAGCCTCCTCCTTCCTTCTCGCCAAGTTCACTACTAGTCCATCCAATATACCGAAAATCTTTGCTCCTACCCCTTTGGACCATAGCACTCCCACACACTGCTCACTTCGGCATCCTCTCCTATGTTAATCCTTTTTTCCCTTCAAATCGCTCCTTAAGACTCGCTTGTGCTGTGATGACTACAGAATAACACATGTGGAGAATAGCTAGTTTGCACAAAAATACTCATAATACTGTTACCCCATCTTCCTTCCCTGACACCCAACCCACTGCCTTGTTTCACCATCTGTTTTGTCTCATTATTAATCTTGATTGTAAGTTCTTTGGGGATATTTTTACAGGTATTACTGAACCTAACACAAAAGGGCCTCTGATTGAGGTTTCCATATGCTAGGTGCTACTGCAGTAGAAATAATACATAAAAACCATGGGTCAGCCTTTGTAAAGCTTTCTGCAGCTCTGTTGCTGCTTTTCTCTAGTGTTGTCTTTTCTCTGGTTATTGCTACTCATCATCTCATTCCCTTCACGCCGTCCTAGCCTCCTCCCTAACTGCACCCTTTGTGATCTTCTCCTATTTTCACCTTCATGCCTTTTTCCACGTTGCCTTTATGCTTGCAACAGTCACACTTTTCATATGTAGCAAACAACTACCTTGATGGATTTGGAGCTGCTCTGTAATGATTTATGAATATTGTCTGTTGACTTGGTTGAGATGTTCTCTGTGTGACTGTATTGGCTTAACACAAGAGGAGATTGTGTGTCTGAAAAAACAGGCAGGAAGGGAAAGAATGGCTCAAGATAAACCACCTCCTTGCAAACACTTGAGGATTATAAAAAGGGACTATTAGCTTTGAAGATTTTGCCTCCTATTCAGCTGTTCAGGGAAACCAGACTAAGACACACCACACTGGGGGCATCTGAAGGAGTTGGGCCTGCCTAGGGGGTGATAAGACAGACATGCAGGTAGACTGTTTGTTTTTAATGCTTTTTCTCTAAAATTATTTGTTTCTATTGTTTAAAATAAAGAATACTTTGTTTTTAAGAAGGCTGTCTGAACAATGTATACACCATTGATCACAGACGCCCAAAGGGAAGAACCACAGGGTACTATAACACCAGGCCCATCTGATAGTGGGAGAATTTTGGAATTCCACCCCAGAAATGGTAAAAGCTTGTGGCCTGGCACCTGATGGGGTGACTCAGAGACCAGAAAGGAGACAGAAGCAGCTAGACATGTAACTGTGACATTGACCCTCTCCTTGTTCAGTTCCCTCATTAAAAAGACAATTCTACTAAAATATCCCTTTCCAAGAGGGAATGGTCACAAAGGATTTGGAACACATTAGTAATGCAGACGCTCTATAAATGTAAAGAGAACAGATACACTGGGCCATATTCTGCTCCATTACACCTGTTTAATCCCAAGAGTGTCTTCACTGACTCTGGGATTACACTGGATTTACATTGGTATAACTAAGCAGAATTTGCCCATTTGACTATCTAGCCACATAGGTTTCTCTTCATAAGCATGCCAGTTAGCTAAAATGCGAGAATGGGCATTGTCTGTTAATTTTAAGAGCTCTATTGAGAAACAGACTGACATTCTGTCATGTACATTTTAAAATATCACATTATACATGAAGTCTAATCCAACCTCCCCTCATTTCTCAGGAAGAGACATAACATTTTTAGACTCATCATCATAGTCCATCACATGTCATTATAATCTGTCTGTGTGACTTTGTGGTATTCAGCATACAGCCATTTTGCCTTAACTAGCACCGTTGCAAAGTGCATCAACTATTCTGTTCTAGAGAACACTGACTGTGCTTCTAGTGTATCAGAAACAAATACCTTTAATAGATTTATACATATTCTATTACCTTTCAGTCCTAGTTTTTGATCATAGAATCACAGGGTTGGAAGGGACCTCAGGAGGTCATCTAGTCCAATCCGCTGCTCAAAGCAGGACCAATCCCCAGACAGATTTTTGCCCCAGATCCCTAAATGGCCCCCTCAAGGATTGAGCTTACAACCCTGGGTTTAGCAGGCTAATGCTCAAACCGCTGAACTATCACTCCCAGTTTCTCCTTTTGCCCTCTTTGTTGAGTAGATCTGGCACAAGTAGTTTTGTTTTTGTTTTTGTTTTTTTAAGAAATTTTTAGGATTAAGGGTAATTTTTTGCCATTGTTCTTCATGACTCCAAATTTCTCCCTCAACAGTGGCTGGCACATAAAATCTTCTCCTTCAAAGAAATTCATCAAGAACTGTCCTCTTTCAAAATGACATTGTTCTCAGTGGGACTGAAGTCACAAACAACCCACAGTTAAGACAACAAGGGGGGAGGGATCGCTCAGTGGTTTGCGTATTGGCCTGCTAAACCTGGGGTTGTGAGTTCAATCCTTGAGGGAGCCACTTAGGGATCTGAGGCAAAATCAGTACTTGGTCCTGCTAGTGAAGGCAGGGGACTGGACTCAATGACCTTTCAGGGTCCCTTCCAGTTCTATGAGATAGGTATATCTCCATATATTATTATTATTATTATTATTATAACTGTCTCAAAATGACTGTCATCTCCCCTTATTCTCCGTGGGACTTAGCCTGTATACTGTCCTTAGCAAAGTTGGCCACTGTCTCACAAAGATTCCAAAGGGAGTGAAGCCAGTCTGCCCTCAAAGATGGCAGCCTGCTATACTGCCATCAGATGGAAAGATGCACGCTGCAAGAAGGAAGTGAAGAGTCAGTGGCCGTCTTTGCTAAGGGCAGTATGCGGTCTAAGTGTTATGTGATAACAGCTACACATTAATATTTTAGAAGGCCCCTTAATTCCAAATTATACCAAACAGATAAGTCTCCTATGCATTTTTTAAATGTCTTATGTAAGTGACCTCAGGGGGTCAGGGTGAGTAGGACTACTGGGGTTCCACTTATTAGGATATGACTACTGCCCCAGGTTGCCTTAATCCAGTCCTGGAAATGCTGCATACTTATTCCACTGGAGAATTACCACTGATAGGCTTCACAGAATATTTTAAGGAAAGATTTAACTGAGGCGAGGGCAGCTTTTTGCATGTAAAGATAGGGAGCTCTAAGTGTAGGACAATACAGTGGTGAAACCACATTGAAAGAAATAAAGTCTGGGTGAGAATACATTCGTCCTGCAACTGCATGTAGATGGACAACAAGACAGTAAACAAAACTGAGAGGAACATGTTCCCTCTCAGTCTCTTCCAGGTGTCATCTATCAAGGGCTACATGGGAAGATGCACAAAAACAATAGAAGGGGGGAAATAAAAAACGCGATTAATTGGGTGGTTTGGGAAAAGCATAGAAAGGAGGGAAAAGATTGAGAGAATGAAAGGTATTGCCAGATTGTGTCAACATTTTTTTTTTTGTGCAGAATTTGGCAAGTGTTGAAGGAGGGGCATGGAAAACGGAGATGGAGTTTCTATGGGTTAATGGCACATTAGTAACTAAGCTTGGTATTGGTCAAGGACTGAGGCAGATCTGAAAGAAGAGAGAATGAGGGAAGTCAGTATAGTCCTTAATTTTCTCCAAAGGTGCTCAGAGTCATTGAAAGCAGGAGATGAAAGAGAAAGATGTGAGGATTAAGCCAGCGTTGGAATTAGTGAGTCAGACATAACAAAGGGAGAAAGGACTGAAGGAATTAAGTGTGGAAGAGAGAGTGAAGTTGGAGGTGGGCACCAACCAATTGAGGTGAGGGAAAGAAGAAAAAGGCTGAGAGTTGCAGTGAAATTAGAGATGTTGTTGGACTGGAGAGCATGGAAGGGTCACTTCATGCCTCTAAGAACATATTGAATGTTTTAAAAGGAAATCGTTTAAAAAATACATTTTCATTTCATCATAGTAAATACAATTTAAACATTTCCCCCCATCCAGATGGTGAGAAAGCTGTTTTGAAAAATCACCTTGATCAAAATCCACAAGCACAGTGGAGCACAACAGAGCCCTCCAGAACAAGCAAAGACCCTATAGAAGACATCAACTCTCCAGAACAGTAAGTAGCATATTGGTGAAAACAGGTTAGTGGTAAATGCAGAGAGGAACTGAGAACGTTTTTTTAACTGGAGAGTTAAATTTTGGTCATGTTTTACCGTGGTTACTTATTGTTAAACATTATTTAGAGCACACAAAAATGAGGAAATGACAGTTTTTGAGTTTGCCTGTGCAACCTTAATTTAGGCCAATTGTGCATATGGATTTTAATACTCTTTAATTACTTGATCACTTACACATTTAATGTCAATATTTGAAGAACTTTCCACTAACTTGGGGTGCCTCAGTGATTGTGCCCAACTTGGGACACCTAGGGCCTGATTTTTCAGAACACTCCATATGTTCAAAGCACTTTATAAGCACTAACTAACCCTCACAACCCCCACTTCCCCCCAACTAAATTTTCCTCAAATACTATCTTTCCACTAAACAGTTCAGTTTCAACGAAATGGCATTTTTCAATGGAAAAACATTTTGTAGAAAATATTTTTACCAACTTTATTATCAATTATGCAGTCAGCCAAACTAGTAGTTATAAAAGATGTGAACTACTGCATTCATCCCAAACCGCTGTTAACACTGAATCCTAATAATAAATGCTTAAATTTCAGTATTGGTAGCTATTCATTGCTGATCATTTAAGCAGAAATATCCACCTAATATGGCTATCCTACATTCCTCAGCCATTGCCCATGCCTCATGTCATGCCAGAATTCCCCAAAATTTTCTGCCTAGCTGCCCAAATCTCCAGCTTTCACCTGAATAATGTAGCTGAAGTCGACGTACTTAGATCTACTTACCACAGTGTCTTCACTGTGGTAAGTCGACGGCTGACGCTCCCCAATCGACTCTGCTTCCACTTCACGCTCCGGTGGAGTACCAGAGTCGACGGGAGAGCGCTCGTCGGTTGATTTATCGTGTCTAGACTAGATGCGATAAATCAACCCCCGCCTGTCGATCCAGCGGGTAATGTAGACAAGCCCTAAGGTTGCGTGGTTCTTTGCCTTGTCCCAGTAGCCAGGGTTGGCAGTGCAGACCCATAGAGCATTGGCACACCTTTTACAAACTGGCTGGTCAGGCCTGATGTTCTTGGTTTGGAATCAGAGTTTTCCTTCTCCTAGGTGCACTGCCTAGTACAGCTGACAAGCTCCATCTGCCTGGTAGAGGCAGAGAGAGGTTAAGTGACATGCCCAAGGTCACCCAGCAGCCCCGTGGCACAGTCAGGGATAGAATCCAGGTCTCATTACTGTACCCTGCGCACTGGACCATATTGGCTCCCTTAAGGCTGCATGTTGCTTATACAAAAAACGGGATCATATTGAAAATGGTAAGGGCAGAGTAAAATATGTTTAATATAAAATAAATTGAATCTAGTATCAACATAAAACAACAGATTTTGATCTGATCATAATATTTGTTTTAACGTGCAATTAAACAGCCTCCTTTTAAAAAAAATTTTTTTTTTACCTGAAGCTGCTGCAGAGTTTCCAATCTGTCATGCTGGAGTCATTCAGAAACCAGGGGACTCTGCCATAGAATTTAGGTCTAGATTTCTATGGAGATCACAGGTCTTTGACAGGTGGGCAGATCCTCGCCCTTTGGTAAATCCCCTTTGCACTGCTGCAATGGAGATGCAAAATTTCCTTAAGGCAGCAAATGAGGATTTCCATATGATAGGGAGTGGTCCTGGACAGCAGAATGGTTCCTTGGGAGCCTCTATCCACCAGCACAAGTTAGAGCAGCCCAGTTCAGCCTCCAGTAGCCCAAAAGATTGGGAGCTAAGGGGGACAGAAAGGTAGCAGCAAGACACCACTGTGCCCCACAGTTATGCCAGGCATTTGTCTGGCTCACTACAGGATTTGACGTAGCATATCTAGTTTCTGTTGTCAAAAGTGCACGTGCATTGGTGCATAAAGCTATTGGAGAGATTTGTGGATCAGACTGTGCATCTAGCCATACATTATGTAACTTATGCTATATGATGCCAGCTATGACCGAATCCACAGAAACATGGATTTACTATACCTGTAGTGCCCTGATGCAGGAAAATCCACAGGGACCTGAATTGCCAGTGCATTTTGTTATTGGAAAAATATACCAAGAAAATATTTGGTCAGTTCACAAAAGCAAGGCCCACATTAAAAGAGGATGCATGCACAGTTTGGTGAGATCGAGCAGTCTCCCTTAATGTGTGGGTATTAGGTGCCTTTTCCATTTCAACCCCATTTACAAGACATGCTGTAGTGTGCATAGATTAATACACAACCGATTAACGTAGTACTGTTATATTAAAGATAGAGTTATATCATGAAAAGATATCCAAACACAAATACTCCAGAACTCCTAATGCATATTAAGCACAAAAGAAATCACCATTTTGTTGGATACAGCAGCCTTCCTTCAGGCTAATGATAGGTGAGGGGAAAATGAGGTTCCACAAAGGTAATGGTCTTGAATCTTCATTGCCTTGCATTTTATACAGTCATTTATACCTATGCAAAGCACTTAATAAAGTGCTCCTAAATCGAAATGGTAGCATTCTACATGTACTTTGCACAGATATAACAAGCTCCACCCTTTGCTTGCAGCTGCTGTCACCCTACAAATCATTCATGTCAAGTGGTGAAGGCACATGCTACACTTGTGTGTTAGCCAACATCATGGCTGATACTACAGACCTCCAGAGGTGAAAAGGAGTGTCTCTAGCTTAAGTTACAGAGCAGGCTCTGAAGATGAGCTGTAGCAGACACACATCCTCTGCAGATTGGACACAGAGGACTATGTGTAACACACACTGAGCAGCCACATCCCTTTTCCACATGCTGGGGAATGCACAGATGGGGTTGCACAGAGCCTTCAGCTCTTCAGTTCATTCCCCTGTGCAAATTCACTGGTTTCCAGAAGCTTTGGGGCACTACAGCAGCTAGACTGGAGGCAAGGAACTGGTCTAAAATTTCTCTCTGTTTTCCTTTTCCAAACTCATGCACTGTGCTGTCTGAAGGGTCTTTTCTTTTCATTTTAAAATAAATGTTTGTGTTAGTGATTCTGTATCACTATATTGCACCTATTTTAGGGAGATGCTATTATTTTTTGTACTTGTAAAGCAGGTTTTGCTATTTAGGTTTCATACCACTGAATGTGTACCTATAGGGGAACCATAACACTTTTTAGACTCTGGGATTAGGGATCTACAATTTTTTATTTCCTTTTTAAGAAGAGACCATTTCTTACCTAACCTTTGTGTTCTCCACAAGTAGAACTGCACTTCTAATGTGTCCATGCTCACTTTTCCAGCTTGAGTTGTGGAGTACGTGTCTTTAAGGTTACTAACACTCGGTAATTTGGTAAAAAGTGAATTGAAGGTTGAAGTAGTTAGGGTTGATCTGAACCACCTGTTGGTGAAGCAGTTTAAAAATTCACAGCTTTAGGGGTACTCAGTAAAGTTTAGCAAATAGACCTCAGGAATGTGTATCTAAAATAATTAACTCCAGAGAGCTAGAATTAAAGTAGTTAAATTTTTCCGCTTCACGCAAACCTAAGAGACAGTATGACCATTTACTTTGGAAAATGTCAACTCATTCTTTCTGTACTAACCAAAAATCAATTCACTTCCTTTTATTATCAGCATACAACACTTACAGCTCTTCAAGTTCTGAAGCTTTGCAATGTAAAAAGAGGAGTTTTAGTTTAAATTACCTCTCAGCATTACCAATATATTTGAATAATTAAAAATCTGACCCTTCATCATAAAGCTGAATACTAACTGAAGGCATTAATCAAATATAAGTTGTAGGCATGTATGAAACTGATCACTGCAGAAAGTTCTTCCACTTAAAAACTCATGAGTGCTGTTTAGATTAGGTCACTTTCAATCAGAATATTAAAATTGTATTTTTCTTGAGTTACTAGGAGTTAAGTCAGTATTTCTAGAGGAAAGCTGATCTCTATAAAAAGCAACAGAGAGTCCTGTGGCACCTTTAAGACTAACAGATGTATTGGAGCATAAGCTTTCGTGGGTGAATGCCCACTTCTTCGGATGCATCTCTATAAACACAGCTTTAGATCATTTATCTAACTAGTGGTTCATTTACATAGGACTGGAAGGGCATAGGTCAAACTCCAGTCCCCTGCAGTCACAGGCAGCCATGTCATATAATCCTGTTCATAAATGTATCAAGTTCCATCTTAAAGCTACTTAGGTTGTTTGTCCCCACAAGTCCCACCGAACGAGATATCAGGCTAACCAGCCTATAGTTACCTGGGTCCATCCCATTTGAATTCCCTTTTTAAATATTAGCACAGCATTTGCTTTTTTGCCCCAGTCCTCTGGAACTTCCCCAGTGTCCCAAGGACCAACATTAATGGTTCAGAGAGCACCTCAGCCAGTTCTTTTAATAATCCTGGGTGCAAGTTAAACATTGTAAAATCTGCTGGACTGGATAACAGTTGTTGATTAGTACCCACTCACTCTAGTTACTGACGGAAAAGTATTTCATCATCATTGTAAGATGTGAATACCTCATCCTTTCAAATACAGAACAGAAATATTTATTGAAGTAGTAGCTGAAAGCAGTGCTGTCACACCAATTTAATTCATAAAGTCATGGGGGATGGGAGAAGCCACAAATGACTAAGAATTTAATAATTTGTTGCTAACAAACCGTGAGTCTTAGTGATGTTTGAACCTGGTGATATTCTAAACAAAAAGAGCTCCAAACCATGCTTGTAGCTCTCTCCACCACTTCACATTGACTTAAATATTCTAGTCTTCAGTGTGATGTTTGGAGTTATTAGTGTGTGTGCTGGTTGCGTTGATTTGTGTTGAAGTGAGGGAAGGTTTGCGCTGGGAGATTTGTGTTGATTTGTGCAGTTGATGATGAGGGTTGTGTGATGCCGTGAGATGCTATGTGCGTTTGGGGTTATTGTGTGTGTGGGTTGTGTGTTGTGATGGTAAATGAGGGATGTGTGCTGCCATAAGGAGTTGTGTGTGTTTGGGGTTATTGTGGGGGAGGGAGGGTTGTGTTGTTTTGTGCATGGTTTTGAAGAACTGTGGCAACTGGGCACACAGGTGGGGCAGTTGGGCCAAGTAATCCCCCATCTGTGCAGTCTCCTTTACACAACTCATGAGACTGCTGCATGCAAATTAGCTATAGAGTAAGGGAGATGATTGGCTGAGTTACCTCTGATATCACAATGGTTTAGGTGGACTCTTGGCATGTCACAGTTGCATGTGTTACTGAAATCTACTCTGTATTATAATTCTTAAAGTCAAAATAGCTGAGAACTTAAAAATTGGATGGGAACAGACTGTAAAACCCAGTGATGATTCAATCTGCTGATAGTATGAGCACACTGAGTTCTCAGCCATGCTTGTAGCTGTTTCCATTGCTTCACACTGACTCAGACATTCTAGGCTTCTGCATGACACACAAAATGACAATCCTGGAATATTTTTATAGCTGCTTCTTCCTTCCTCACATCATGATTGACAGTTTTACCATCCTCATCTAGTATTGAACCTACACTATTGCTAGGGTTTCACTTGTTCCCTATAAATTTAAAGAATATATTTCCATACAGAAGTGAAAAACCATCTATGTTCTATTCCCCGTACCAGGGGCGCCAGAACAGGGAGGCTGGGGGGACCAGAGCTAAGTCCTCCCACTTTTTACTGGCCGTAAAGGAAAGCAACAGGGGGAGGGGGCAGAGAGGAGCGATTGGGGGGGGCAGGGTCTTGGGGGTAAGAGGTGGTGTGGGAGCAGGAGTTCGGGGGGGAAGGGCAGTGCGGGGGCAGGGCCTCGGGGGATGGTGTGGCACAGGGGGCAGGGCCACGGTTCAGGCACCTGTGGCCCCCACACTTTTAGGGCACTTCCACCACTCCTGCCCCATCCAGTGCCCTGACTTGTAGCTGCTCTGATCACCGAACTCCAATTGACTTCAGTTTGAATTGTACTCCCGAAGCTGCTTACATTATCATCCATCTTGGCTAGCTTTAGCAATGACAGGGATTTGCAATATAATCTATAGATAATAAAATACTAAACTCTCCTACACCAATACCTGGTTAGCCCTACATTTTCAAAATGTCCACTAATTTGGGAATCTCAATTTTTATGTAGCCATCTTGAGCTCATGAGCAGTCATCATGGAAAGCTATGGCCACAAGATGTAGGTAGGGAAATGCAATTCAGGTTGAATACAATTCCATACAGAGTAACTAACTGTGGAAGTTGAGCTTTCACCTTCTCTTTAGATATTTTACCCCCAGCCCTTGCAAACTATGAGCTAGATATTTTTTTAAGACAGAGTTTTTGCATAAACTGTTATGTTTATTCCAATCCTCTTACCAGAGGCTACCCCTCTGGAAACAAAGTTTTCAAGTTAAAGTAAATTTTAAGTACAGTTAAAGCAAAATTGCCACCCACTGCAGCCAACGTTGATGTAGTCAAACATGCTTTGTCTGTGGCATGGCTGACATTTAAATGGGTGAAAAATCCCATTCAGTCTACTATGCAACTGAATTCTCTTGGAATAGCTTCAAATAGCTCTTTACAGAAGAGTTTGTAATAGTCAAAGTAAGCAGTTTCACTGGTGGGAAAATAATCTTTGGCAATTCTCTGTTTGACCCTGCACCATAAACACAATTAAAAAGTGCAACATCAAACTAATAAGGATTCAGCACGTGGAAGCAGCAAACATGCCACCTCTGCACTCCTTGGGAACGGGCATGATTCAATTGATACCACCAAAATAGTGTGACAGAGTAACAATAAGCGGATTTAATGTAATCCACTAGATGTAATGCCATCAGTAGCATGAGAAACAGTGGACATTTATATTTCACCAAACATTTAAAACATTGAAAGGAAATCTGCAGAGCCCTGAAATGTAAAGTTGAGTCTATCTGTCCATGGTGTTGCAGATTGCAATCACTTACACCCCCTATGTTTGTCTGATGTATTGCAGCACAGTAATGCAGCATCTGAACAAAGCCAACAATTTTAAGTTCTCCATAGTAACTAATTTTTGGTTCATGAGCCGAGCAATGAGTGACTGGTAATCTATCTCCATTTGACAGCATAATGTACAAACAGCAAATGCAGATCTATTAGAATAAGAAAGATCATCAACAAGCAAGCATTCAGGCATACATTTTTTTCAAACGACTTGTCCACTTAGGAAGGCTATAGGATGTGAATGAGAAGTGCTATAGTTGTACTGGTATAATCCCCCATGTAGACACTCATATTCTGGTATAACAGTGCTTTTTTCCAATTTAGCTTATGTTGCTTTGCAATCGGTTTAAGCTAAAACAAACAAACAAAAAAGCACTCTTAGTCTGGACCAAGAATGTCCACATGGGACTTATACCAGTATAACTATAGCAGTTTAGCAATACCAGAATAATTATACCAATATAAGTGGGAAAATCTCCCATGTAGACAAGCCCTAAGTAAATTCCGGTTCTTGTGAAAGGTGCTAAATTGACAGCCCTGGAAATTGAAGACCTCAGTTTATCCACAGTACAGAAAGAGCACAGGCAGAGACATCGGCGGTAGCTGAAACTTCCCCTGGGAGAAACCAGCTCTTTGTCCTGCCTCTTCAGCCCACAGCCCTGCCCACACTCCACCCCTGCTCTGCCCCAGGCCCCGCCCCCACCCACCACTGACTCACCACTCATCTCTTCACCCCCCTGAGACCTCCCCCTCCGCTCACCTCCTCACCTCCCCCCGCAGACCCTTTCCCCACCCACCACGAGACCCCCTGTGCAGCTGGCTCACTGCTTGACTCCTCACCCTGCTGCTGCCCCCGTGACACCCTCTCCCCATTTCACCTTAGGGCACTAATAACATTCCCCAAGGGAACTGAACAGGCAACAGGTATAGCTTAGTTACCAGATAGATTCTCCTCTGCGTGGCAGGGAGTTCGGTGTATGCTGTATAGAGAGGGATGAAAAGCCAGGCTACCTGCGCCAAACTGAAGCCTAATCTCTCCTTTTGAAAAAGTGCTTGTCATTGACAGCCTGCACTAAGGCAGTAGTTTAATCACCTTTCTTACACAGAATTCCCTGCCAGACTCGTTTACTTAAATTGAATAAAATGACTAGATCAAGCAATAAACTCACTGGCTATGTCAGCTCCTCTTTGAGCCAGGTTAGCAGTTACTGCTTCTGGGTACAGAGAATAACTGAAGGGTCCTCAGTTGGAAACTGGTTTTAACCCCAATAACACATTTTCCTACACTATAAAAGCCAGCTGAATGTGGCCAAAGGCTTCCTGGGCATTGGCAAATGCCTGTTACATGGCTTCATTACCACTTTAATGGCTCTTTAACAGTTTCAGTGATCTGCTACTGGGTCTCTGGAAGGCTTTTTCACTTATGTAAAGTTACTCAGGGATCCCCTCCGGTCGCCTCCTCACTCCCCAGACTGCCACTGACTCCCCGCTCACATTCTCACACACACCCACACACACACGGGGGAGTAGGGGGTGAGGAGAGACACGGCCGGCAACTGCGGGGATCTCCGAGGGCGGAAGGAGATGGGATGGAGGAGAGGAGGAAGATTCACCCCAGGCAGCAGCAGCAAGCCATGGGAGCCTTGGGGAAGGGTCAGAGCAGGGAGGGGGGAACCACAGCCCAGGTGTCCGGCAGCAGGGACGGCTGTGCTGGGGAGGCAACACCTCCCCTTGCCTATTATATCCGCCGCCCATGCGCAGAGATAATAGAGGTTTCCACAAAGCAGTCTGCTAGTATGCCTCGACTCTGTTCTGGAAGGACCTCCTCCTTCAGGGAGGAGAGATTAGTTCAAACTCCATGTCCTCACTCTTTAGCATCTCTCTTAAGACTACCATTTATGATGGTGGGATCTTGTGATGTGAAAACCAGCCCACTAGGAAAATTGAGTGCCTAAAGTTAAGCTCCAAATAGACAGTTAGGCTTGATTTTTTCATGAGGGCTGAGCCGCCACAGCTTCCATTGACTTCACTGGGCTTTGAGGGATGCTCAGCATGTCCCTGGATTGGACCCAAACTGAAAGGTAGACAAACTCTACAAAGTGACCCATGGGTTCCTTCCACACCTCCATATGCACTTATTTGCTTTAGATGGATTTGAAAAACTGACTTCTTTAATTCTAATGTTTTTGAACTAAAAATACACATAGATTGGAACTTGTTCATTCAGTTTCTGTTCTGTCTAGTTATCCAGCCCTCAGAATGGTGGTAAATCAGCCTGTGAGTGTGCTCTGTTAGCTAGTTCATCCTCATTGCAAGCTAAAAGTTTTTTTCCAAACATCAGCAGTCTAACATTTAATCTCAAAATAGCTGGGAATTTTAGACAGTTGTGGGATACTTGAAACAAGCCATTAGATTCTCCTGTCTTGTCTAGTCTGTCAAAAAAAACTCCCAAAAGGGAAGTTGGTAACAGCAGTGGTATATCTCAACAGCAGCAAATGTAATGTTCTTGGCATTAACCCTCTCTGTAATAGCAGAAGTCAGAGAAAACATTCTTACAGAAACCTGCAGAGACATCACACATTTGATATATTCAATTTTCCTCTTCTGCTAACTCCTCTTTTTTTCCCTCTCTCTACAGTATACAACGCCGATTGTCTTTACAACTGCCCATTCTTCACCATGCCTATTTGCCATCCATAGGAGGAGTTGACGCTAGCTGTGCCAGTCCATGTGTAAGCCCCAGTGCCAGTCCTCGGCACAGACACGTGCCACCATCTTTTCGAGTGATGGTTTCTGGACTGTAGAAATGGGAGATCAGAGCTTCCTGAACTGCTTTTAAGTACTCAATGACTGGACTTAACATCAGACGTAGAACTCTGCTATAAACATACTATTTGCTCTTACCACACAGAGGAACTAGTGCTAAGGCCATCATCATGGGAGTACCAGTGTAACTCATGTGGAAAGGCGAGAGCAAGAGAAACCTGGAGTTTGATCTGTAGCCTTATTCATGGAGCTTTTATTTCTTCACAAAGAAGTCATTGAAAATATTTCTTCCCAAATTTCTACTAGCAACGAGGAGGCTGGGAAATACGAATCTTGCAAAAAATGAGACAATTAAAAAAAATAAAAACCACTCAACTGTCACTGTTACATGGCTGCTGAAAACATGGAACTATATGCTGTCCATGTAAAAAAAATAAAATGGTAGAGCTATAACATTTATTGAAATAGATACACTTCATTTTACAAAAGTTGTGTTAAATTGTTGGAAGCATTCTGCACTGGTTAGTCTTGCTTGTTTTCATTTCAGAGAGGATTTTCAGTGGGAAAGGGGGATTTTGAGAAATGATTCCTGAAGTGTGATTGAGACTCTGTGTTGCTAATAGCAGGGTCCCCCTGTAACTAAAAACTATACATAGGGCAGAAGCAGAGGTTGTAGCAACAGCCCTGAGGCGTTACCAGCTACAGAGTTGCTGTTCCGAGTCAGAGCTCTTTACAGTTCTCCAGGGATTAGATGTGGTGATTGCCAGGTTCCCATGCTGACCATCAGGGACTTCATTTGACAGAGTTTCTGCCTCTCTTTCAAAATAAACACAACCAACCGTAATATACAAAGCTGGCAGAAAAAGTCCTAGGGCTGCTAACTCAAGAAGCTGAGGATGGATGGGTAGTAAAGTCTTAATGTCACAGGATGGATTGATTTTCACAGTTTGTTTGAATTATGCCACACATAATTACAATCATATTAATTTAGTAGACAGGGGGTAGGTGGGGGAACAGGGCACAGCACCTTGCGGCTGCAGGCAAATTCTGCAGAGTGCATACACAATAATATACACTACCTTTGCTTGGTACTGGGTGTGTGACAGTTGTAACTGGTAATTGGTGGTATAAACCAAGTTTGCCCATAGAATATTTTGTTTGAATATGAAAAATAAAGGTGTGGGAAAAGTATGAATTTTAATCTCTCTGTTGATAGGGAGTGATCATTTTTCATATTTGAGCACATACCTTAGCTCCACTCCCCTAAGCAAAGTTATTCTAAGGTATTATAGTTGTAAGATGTTTTAGCTCAGTGGGGCTCAAACTTTTTTACTGGCAACCCCTTTCACACAGCAAGCCTCTGAGTGCGACCCCCCTAATAAATTAAACACACTTTTTTTATATATTTAACACCATTATAAATGCTGGAGGTAAGCGGAGTTTACGGTGGAGGTTGACAGCTCATGACCGCCCCATGTAATAACCTTGCAACCCCTGAGGGGTCCTGACCCCCAGTTTCAGAACCACTGTTCTAGCTGAACCAATCTTAGAGACATTCTCATGGACTGTAAGTGAGGCCTAATCCCAGCCTATTCTCCAGTATAGTGTCAGTGTGATGTATCATGGCCTTGTCAGTTATTAAGACCAGTGATTTTTCTTAAACCAAATAAAAATATTGTCTAGCTAAAAATAGCAGTGGTGCCTCAGGATGCACTTGATGTCTTTAACCAATGCCTGCCCACCTCACACATTCTGAAGTGAATATTCCACAAACACTCCCAGACCAGAGATGACTAAAGAGCAGCTTTCAGTATCTGCACAGGGGAGGAGGCTCATTAACTGAGGGCCTTAATTGCAGCTTTGACAAGCAAAAATCTTTACCACGTAGTCAAAAATAACCATAAATATAAATCTTCCAATGGGAGCATCACAAAATATTTCACTTGGCACATACAGTAAGAGAGATTATGGAGGTACCTGTAGCTTTTAGAACAAAAACATGTAAGTATAACACAGGTAAAATAGAATTCATTACTCTGTTTAAGCATTGATGTTGTCACTCAATGTGTGTTGACAGTATTCTCTTGCTTTATTAATTTAATCAGGGCCTGGTTTATTTTTAAAGGAATCTGTTAATTTGTAAAAGAGAAAAGGACAATATTGTATATAATGTATACACAAACATCGCTGTAGAAATATTAATCCAACATAGCAGGAAAAACTCAAAAGTATTGGCCTGATGGAGGTGAGTGTGTGTGTGTCTGTAACTTTGTGAATGTGTGCCGTTTATTAGGTTTAAACCATGCAGTACATTCTTTGTCTCAATGATACTGTAGTTTCTCCCATGACATTTTTTTAATTTCCTGCAGCATAACAAGACCCACCAAGTGAATATAGCTATTTAATGTTTCTGTTCTTTTCTACTGCAGCAAAACAGTACTGTAAATTTATGAAGAGGCTGTGCCCCAATGGCATTTTCCAATGATGTTAGTGCACAAATGCTTTAAACTAGACTGGAACTGCCAGAAGAAAATGTAAATGAAAAATTTCTTGTATACCCTTATACTGCATGAGATCAATTTTTAAAAAATTGTTGCAAATCTGTTTTTATGAATAAAATATAGAAAATCTAACTTTGTGTAGCTTGATGAGTCCATTGCCTCTCATCCCTAAAGGAGCAGCAAACCAAACTCTGGAGAAGGAGGGATCACAACACATCTTTGTAATAATACAGAAGAGTAAAAATGCACACTAATAGTCTAACTGAGTGCACATGTACCAAGATACAATAGACCTGCTTGCTTCAGCCCTGGTTGTGACTATGAATGAAGTTTAGAACCTTGTCTATATCCCTCTCACAAACCTTTCTTTGGAATATCCACCAAAGAGACTAGAAACTGTGAGGGACCAATTTAGACATTCTAAACATTTACATCTGTAACCTCCAAGGAGCTTATCTGGGTTCGGGCTTGGTGTGCAGGAAGTGGGACCAAGGGCAGACTCAGAGTCTGCTAGGCAACCAAGAAGGAGAGAGGAGAGTCACTGTTTAGAGCCAAGGAGGCTGGCAGGGCACCTGCTCAGAAGAGGGGCCATGTCTGAGAGAAAGAAGGGGGTCAAATGATTGACAAAGGAAAGCCTAGACAGAAGAGCTAACCTGACTAACACTAAGTGAGATGCCATCCCCTGGGAGCCCTGGAGGGGGGAGAAGCCATTTTGGAGCAGTCTGGAGCCAGCCACAGAAAGGGCAGGACTGACTGTGTGGGGAGCTGGTGAGTCCCAGGCCAGCATGCAGGGTACCCATAAGAACTGGCCTCTGGGAACCTGGAAGCAGGATCCCTCAGCTTGGCCCTTTCCCTCTTCAAAGTGACTAGGATTGCCAACTTTCTAATTTCTGAAAACCAGACACCACAGCAGAAGTGCTGGAACCTCCCCACACCCTGGCTTCACCTCTTCCCCTGAGGCCCCACCCCTGCTTCACCTTTTCCTACAACTAGATTTATTCAGACTAGAAGGTAAGCAAACCTACCTAGGTAATACAATTGTGGCAATGTCTGCTTCAGTGAACAAGCTGGTTTTAAGCAGAATCTATAATTATTTCATGAAAGCATGTGCTAAACTTCTCTGCCCCTTCTTGCACAGGCAATAGAGTTCATGTTCTAAATTGGGTTCTTCTGTTGGCTGGGCTACCCCATGTGTTTTCAGGGTGCATCGTAAGCCAGGGCATGGGGAGGGGAGTAACCAAGAGAGCATGTTTATATGGAAATGGGGAGAATCTTCAAGCCAGTGTACTGAGTGATTTATAAACCAAGGTGATAGGAGACTGATATCAGCAAAAAATAGGTTTCCCGGCAAATACCATTCTGATTGAACTTGGGTCATATAGACCAAATGGTAAAAAAAGAATAAGCACAGAAAGGGGTAAAGCATGCTGGCTAAATGGGAACTCAGTGTAGAATACAGCCAAAGCACCGCTGGTATGAGAAACTCAGGAAGATAATACTTCAAATCTCATACAAAAATTTACTGAGTAATCCAGATTTAATTAGGAAGCAGAATGTGGGAAACCTAGGTCTTTGAGTTCACTACTGAAGAAGAACACTGACCTGAGGGGAGGTTACCATATTTCAGTTTGCCAACTAGAGGACACTGCAGAAGGGTGAAGGAGTGGGGGGAGGAACAGTTGTGGGTGTTGAAGGGGGTACCTGTGGTGGGGATACTCACTAGAGGTGGGGGGGGCAGTGTCAGTCTGTGTCACGGTGGGAGAGCAGCTGGCCAAGGCCAAGACTCAGCAACAGCTGTCAGTCAGTGCCTCCCTGGGCTGGGAACTGGGGCTTGGCTGGGACCTGTGGCAAACAGGGGAATGGACCAATCAGCTGCAGATGCAGGGATGGGGCCAATTGGGAAGTGGACCAATCAGGACTGTTTCTGAGCTCCAGCTTGTCTGCTCTGCAAAAACCCCAGTCATTTCCTGTTATTTGAAAAATCCGCCCAGACAGAGAAAGGAAGCTCGAAAAAGAGGCTATATCTGGGAAAACCCAGACGTATGGTAACCCTACCTGAGGGGAAACCTATAGAGGTGTAGTTTTACTGAGGTTTGTTAAGGTACTGAGGTATTCACAGCTGCTGCATATAATAGTTCCAGTAAAGTGGACACCGTTCCACATTTGGCACTGAGTTCACAGACATTCTATAAAAAAACATTATTTCTTGCAAAATGCTCAAAAATCTGCCCAAAGTTGGGAAAGAGATCCCCCCCCCCAACACACCCACCCACACACACACACACACACCCCTTCACTTTTAAGTTTAAAAGATAGTGTCCCCATTTCCCAGTATTTTATAATCAAAGCAGCTTGGGAATCAACTGTGATTATTTTGTGCCATGTAACGTTATATGTAGCATTTGTTAATCACAGTAAAACGTATTTTGTCCTAACAGTCAATCACCTCCCACAAGTGTTTGACTATTAGGCTTTTTATACCAAGCTAGCTCTTGTCCTGCAGGCAGACCCCCCCCCCCCCACACACACACGCTTAACCTCTACAGATCTTCATCAACTTCAGAGGGATTTCATGCAGGAGTTGGGGATTGCACACATGGGTCAAATTGCAGGATGGCGGGGGGGGGGGGGGTTAGTTTTTTTGTTCTGTAACTGAGGCCTGACTACTCCTGACTTGTTTAATCCCTCATTACCTGAGAAAACTGACAAATTCATTCTT